CTAAGATAAGACCAGAAATTCATCGAGAAGAAATAATTAAGACGAAAGAACTTCAGGATTGTATTAAGAAACTTAAAGATAAATCAACACCAGGAGCAGATACAATACCTAATTCACTCATAAAAATGCTGCCACTAGAAATCATTCGATATTTAACCAGACAATTCAATCAATTCTACAGTTATAATATAATACCGGACAAATGGAATGAAGTCATTTTTACCATGATATTTAAACAAGGGAACAAACAGGAACCAATCAATTACAGACCAATAGCTCTTCTGTCTTGTCTACGGAAAGTATTCACTACAGTATTAGCTAATAAATTTAACCATTGGACAGCTGCTAATAATTATAGAAATGATACGCAATTTGCGTTTGTGGAAGGAGGTGGTACTCAGACATCTCTCTTTGTGTTGTTATCACTAATTCAAATACAGTTGCTTAAGAAAAGACATAAAATGTTTGCCCTTTTTTTTAGACCTTGAAAAAGCATACGATATGATTAGCATTACAGACCTACAAAGTAAAATGAAGAGATGTGGAGCAAATGAACCTTTGATAAAAATGATAGGATTGCTGTTTGGAAAATATAAGACATTCATTAAACAAGATACCAAGATCTGGACACCGTTTATTACCTACAGAGGACTATTACAAGGAGATCCGTTGTCCCCATATCTTTTCAATTTTTATCTGTATGACCTAAACACTTGTTTTCAAAGAGACGAAGATGGTATTCAAATCGAAAATCAGACAATACATACCATATCGTATGCCGATGACATTGTGTTAATAGCTCCTACAGCAGCTGCGCTCCGTAGAAAGATTCAACAAATTTGTGAGTACTTAGAAAAATTAAGAGTTAAAATAAATCCAAATAAATCAACAATAATGATATTCAGAAATGGTAGTAATGTATCCAAAAAGCACATGTCCTTTTTTATTAATAAAGAAGAAGTGAAGATAGTTAAGGAAATAAAATTTTTAGGAATAACATTTACACCAAACCTTTCGTTTGAGAAACATTATAAAAATTCAATAAATAAAGCAAAAATTGTAATAAATAACTTAATTGGTCTATTCTGTAAGACAAAACTAAAGAACTTGGGAACACACTTTCGACTTTTTAATTCACTTGTAATGAATTCAATGGGCTATGCGGCCCCAGTTTGGAGTATGGATAAATTTAATGATTTCGAAAAAATACAGAATATATTTATACGCAAGATATTCCAGTTAGAATATAATATCCCGGGCAGTGCTTTAAGATTAGAAACAAATAGATTTAGACTAAATACTATATTAATAAAAAGATATTTAATGTTTCTACAAAAAATCATTAAGGCAGAAGACATAACAACAAAATTACTGTTTTTGCTATATCACAAATCAAGGGAAACGGATTTAAGACGAAGTTGGATAATACAGCTATCGAAGATAATAAATAAATACGGATTCTCTATTAAATTGTTTTTGGATGGTACACATAATAGGGAGCAATATAGTAAAGAAATAATATACAGAGCTATGGAGCTCTCCATCGTTCAAGACATTGAAGACATACGAAAACGGGAAAATACAAACTGGTATGCAACAATTTTAAATTACCCAGTAAATAATAATTATTTATTGACAAATCTAGCATTTAACATCAAAAAGTTTTTTATACAGATCAGGCTAAATAAAAATGGAATAATTATAAATGATAAATATATAGACTATAACCAAAGTAAATGTCCAAAATGTACCAAAATCTTGTCTAGAATTCATATTATATGTGAATGCTGTAATGAAAAAGATAAATTACAAAGGCTCCAGATGGGACCGCTGGCTAACTGTAATAGTGAGATAGAAATGTTTAAGACTTTTGATAGAGCCAATACTAACACAATTTATATGTTATATAACTATGTTAAACAATTTATTAAATGATAATTGTGAAAAAATATTAATGTAAAATATGTTGATAAGAAGAGAATATATGAAATGTTAAATTAATACGCGTTTTTTTCAGAAAAAAAAAACGCCCTTGTAACAGGCGAAAGCCTTATACGACAAATAAAGATTATTATTATATTATTATTATTATTATTATACTCCTATCTTTCTTTTATCAGTGATGTCTTTTATGTTTTATTACAGAATAACTATGATTTATATGTAATTTTTTGTATTATTTTATATTACGAAGTCTTAATTTTTGCTTATATCTGGAATGCATTATTTGAGTACATTAAAATTTGACTATCATTTATTTCAATTTTATTGATATGCTCCAATTTAAAACAATAGCCTACTATATAGTACTCTTTTGATTTGCTGAGAAAAATTTTTATTATTTATCACTAAATGTTTTTACTTTATTGTATTTTTTAGTTAGTCCAAAATAGAAATTGTATGTGCTGTATCTAGCATATGGTTATACCATATGCTAAGAACAGACAATATCAAATTAATGTTATTTTGTTTTCTGCTTACTGTAACAAAGATAATATCTTTTTATGAAAATTTGTTTCGATATTTTGTTTGTTCAAACACTGCAAGACTGGAATAAAGTATGTCATAAAAAACGAACTTCTGAATTTTACAAATAAAATTCTAGCATAGTTTAATGCAGATGAAGAAGATCTCTTATGTAGATCAAAAGCATTTGTTTTTTTATCTGCATTAAACTACGCTGGAATTTTATTTGTAAGGTTCAGAGATATGTGTTTTTTTATTTTGTTTGTGGAATTATTCCTATTTTTCAAATTGAAGAGAGATTTCAGCTATTCAGGATGCATTACCTTCTCTTTCAATCATTATTCCATAACTTTCTAATATGAGTTAATTTTTAAATTAATTGGCAAGGGGATTTATTTGGTCTGGATTATGTCAGATTTTCCTCATATTGTACCAACAATATAATAGACCTCAATATTGCTAATTGTTACACTTATAATTAAGTGTATTATAATTATATCGTATGATTAGTATTAGCTAGATATATTTGAAATTACATATATATATTGATATTGTACATTTACCTATTACAGAACAATATATAACAAAAAGTAAATTGAAACAAGCAATTATTTATTGCTTTGTATTTATTACAATGCTGGGCTGCATTTTTTAAACATATTTTTAATTAATTTAATTTAAAATGTATGCTTTTCACCTCAAAATTAGTAGTGTCTAGCTTCTGTACATCATATTTTTCTGAGAGGACCATCATGACAGTCCTCTCAGGAAAATATGATGTAATAAATAACTCCTTTTAGGGGAAAATTTTTTAATTGAAATAACATGACTTCTGGTAAAAACCAGAAATTCATATATAGTTAATCAGGACCTCCTGTCCCTAAGCTTTTCATATCTAGTTTTGACTTTCATCTGTCTAACTCCATTCTTGAGATTAAGGAGGGTCAGACAGACAGATAACAATGGGAATTTAATGTCTACAGTTTTTCAAATTGCAGCCAACAGCAAAATAGAATGGTAAGTGGATAAAGATATATTATTGTCAAAATGACTACAAGTAAAATGAAGAAGTCATGATTCTAAAAAAAAAATAACATCAGAAATTTGTAAGATAGATACATTCCTAATAGATTAGAGAGCAATTGTAAAAATCATTTTTACAATTGATAAAAGAGAAGTTGGATAAAATTGTGCAATTATTTTGATTAACATTTATCTCACATGATAACCAATGTGAGATTGAATGTTAGTCACACTTAAAGCACTTTTTCTTCATAGAAGTTTTTAATTGAATTAGTTTAATATTTTCATGTTACTTTTCAGTTTGTCTTCAGAAGTATAGACGTTTCAAACAGTTGAACAATGAAATAACAAAACATTTCTAAATACAGTAGAACCTCAATTATCCGGACTAATTGGGGATGAAGGTAGTCCGGATAAGGAAAATTCGGATAATCGAAACAAATACTTTAATTTGTCTTTTAATGATAATATAACACGTTTTCTTTTCGATGACATATCGATAATATTAAAAATAAATACTGTATTTAAATCATGATCAAATTTTCAAGAAACAAATGTTTGTATTGAATTTGGACTACTACTGACCAGTGCTAACAGACTACCTATTGTTTAAAAGGCCCTCTGGTGGCGCAAGAAGACAGATTTTATAAAATAAAAAGCAGTTGAAACTGCATTTTTATGAATAAAAATTTGACAAACTATTTATCGTTTTATGATGAGTAAAATTTTTTCGTTGAGGTTCGCAGTTTTAAGTAATGCATAAACCTTTGAGGCGCGAGGCCCTTCGGATCGCGAGGCATAGGCGGTGGCCCACGTTGTCCATGCCTTACGCCACCCTTGGTCATAGAAATGATGTAATTTGAATATAAATTATTTATAAATATGTATGTCAAGTTATATTTGTATTACTACGTAAAATATATTTAAGAGTTTACGACCACTGGATGAGACGTTGTTGAAACAAAAAAGTTATGCATTCCATCACATACATAAACAGTGTCGTAATTCGCCAAGTGCAAATCAGAAAATTCGTAAAATTTTTGTTTATTTTGAACAATCCGGATAATAGAGGTCTGGATAATCGAGGTTCTACTGTATATAAAAAAATTTTAAAGTTAATTACAAAGAAATAAAAACACACACATGCAATGTATTTATTTGCAGTTTGTTTTTATTGAATTCTTAAAAAATTTTAATCTTATTTTAACTTATCTCTTATTTAGCATGGTCTTTTTTATTTTAATGAAAAATTTTTAAGAGTGAAGTTAAGAAATAATAATATTAACCTGCTCCAGATTTTATATATTTCATATTTCTTTTTAATTTTAATTTATTAAATTTGATTCCTTTTCTTTCATTTTTCTAAATTATTTTTGCATATTTTGAATAAATAAATTATTATTCTTTAATATAATCATAATATGATAAAAAATTAATTTCAAAAGGTGAATACTTTTTCAGATAATAGAAGAAACTCTTATAAGAAATAATTTAATAATAATGTTTTTTAGGAAATGATTATTGATAAAGTAAATGGAATTGATGTTCCCAGATACTTGGTTTATGATATTATACAATTTGAAGTAAGTATTTATTACTTTTAATGTATTTTTTTATTTTTTTTTTATTTTAAAAATTTAGGGTTTACATTTATCTTTAATATAGAAATTTATTGAATTATATTCAAATTATTAAAGATTTAAATAATTTTATTTTTTTAAATGTTATAAATTAAAATATATTGAATATACAGTGTAACTTCAATTTACAAGCATGCCTTGTTCCAGACAATCTTTCATAAATAGGGATGACATTACCATTATTTTCTATGGTCAAAATATGAATCCTCATACCAACATAATCTAGTAACTCTACCTTATTTTTAGTAATTTAATGTTGTTTATGATTGTTTCCCCAATAACATTAAGTACTAAAATATCTATTTACCTATTACCAATGATTTTAAATGAGATGAAATAAATTAAAGAAAAGCGTTGATTGGGTTATCTGATAGAAAAGGAACTAATAAGAAATGAGAGAAGCAAAAAATAAATTTTGAGAAATTTCTTTCTTTAATGATAAGAAAACAAAATTAAGACAATAAATAAGCAAAAAACAAATAAAATAAAATAGAATGAAAGTGTTTTTTTAATTAATTAAATTTTAATTGATGATAGTCAGATCTATAATGTACACACAGATCTATATTATTAAACTGCACAGCCATATTAGAACAGGTAACAAGACCTCTAACAAATGAAGACCTAACATGAAAGAATGAATGTGTAGACTGGAACACATGAGATATCTAGTATTTGGGAATTTCAGTCTTGCTGTACTTGTGTAAAACATTCTTTTTGTTCTTGTAAATACTTGTCAGCACTCATTGTATCAAATTCTCATAAATAAAATTATACTAATACTCTTGTAATTAAAATGAAATTGTTTAGATTTTATAACAGAGAAATATTTTAATTTGAAATCAAGAATTTAAATATATTATGAATTATAAAATTAAAAATCTGTTATGTTAATCAATTGCAAATAATTGAACTTCACTTTTTTTAGTTTATTAATATTAGCTGATGAAAATGCATAACAACAGTTTGAAATTCTCATATGATTGACTTTCTTCTGAATGTTATATCTCTTAAAACTGATATCTCAGATTAAAATCATTTATTGAATTAATGAATAATTTGAATATTCAAGATGTTTATTATCTAATAGGCCAATTTTGTTTTATATACATCATTTATTTAACTCTTAACATTAAGTATGGAAAAATATATTGGCTAACTGACTGTCTCTAGTTGCTGCACAAATACAGGTTCTTTCAATGACACTTATCATGAAATTACTGAAGAACTGGAGGACAAGATGATAAACTCACACAAAAAATTACTAACAACTTAATATTTAATAAATAATAACATTTTTAAAATATAAGGACGACTCTTACAAAAAAAAAATTTTTGTTTCAGTCATTTCTTTCGTTGTTCACACCATCAGCAGTTCATAAAATCACAAACTCACGGAGACGACCTTCTTTTTTAGGCTACTGCCTCCGTAGTTAAAATGCAAAAAAATTTTTTTTTTTTTTTTTTTTTTTTTTGTAAGAGTCATCCTTATATTTTATTAATATTAAATAATCGTTGGCCATGTAAAACTTATTATTTTTTACTTAATAACATTTTTGTCTAATTTGATATGTCTTCATCAGTTGTCAAATACAAACAGTTATCAAACAAGCAAATTTTGAACTTAATAGAACCTATAGTATTTACAATACAAATAGAACATAAAATTTAAGTATTAATAAAGTAAAAATAAATGAAAGTAAAAACATTGAATTAAAATAAGATATTAAAACAATAAATGCTTGACCAAGTTAGATTTCATAAAGTGATTTCCTTGCTGTTGATATAGTATCTGCATCACATCTGTTGTTTTTGTGAGGATGTAGAGTTAGAAGGAAATTCATTTTTGGACAAATTAACAGAGAAGAGAAAAAGATTTGGATTTTAATAGAAAATAATATTTTAAACTTCAACAAAATTTTGAAAAACGGATGTTAAAAGAAACTTTTGATTTTAGAAAGGAAGTTGATTTCCTTTCCTACGGCCGACTCATGAGATGAGTAAAAAATGCGGCCTTTGTACACGCTACTTGGCTGTCAGAGAAGGCCGATATGAAAGGGCTATTTTCCCGCCATTCTGGGCAGTCCATCGAAAGATGTATTGCCACACGAGGACAGTCCATCGAAAGAGGTATTGCCACATGAGGGCAGTTTGTCGTAAGAGATATTACCATACGAATCCTGGAAAGTTATTCAGAGAGAACGCCATTCAAAGAGTTTGTTATACAACGAAGTCCATCATAAGAAGAGTTATCCATACAAGAAAGTGCCATAGAAAATATAAGAAGAAGAATATCCATAAGTAAAGAAGACTCTCATACATTGAAATATTCGAAACACCTGGAGGAGGTAATATGATAATGGTTAGATCAATGTGAACTCTCTCTCACGCGATAGGTTTAATATAGGATTATTAAGTTTGGGTTTAATTTAGTTTGTAGTGACTTAGGTATAAGTATGATTTGTTAGTTTTTTGTATACTTTTGATATTTTTGATTTATTAAATGTTTTAGTTTATTTTATAAATATGGTCTGGTTAATGTTAGATATTCACACTTATACTTATTCAGATTACTTGTGTTCCTCATACTCGAAACTCCAAGATAATGCGTGTTAATCTGCGTGTAATAAAACTGATTAACTGGTGTCAACATCCTGACGTGATCTAGACCTTACCATCTATATCTTTAAAAATTTATTTAAAGCCCTCCAAAAGAATAAGTGAGTCAATCTAACAATTGTGTCAGTAAGTGACATAGGACAAAATTCTATGCTTTTGGCTTCTCACATTTTTATTAGCCGTGTAAATTTCTAATACAGTGGAACCTCGGTATACGTTTGCTTTAGAATACGTCCAATTTCGAATACGTCCTGTTTGGATGAAACAAATTTTGCTCAGTATACGACTTTTGTTCGATATACGACATAATTCAATTATATGCGCCATCAATGAACAAGTAGCACTATCGGTGTATTAGACCAGACTAGACGTTCGCGGTGCAATGGTTTATAACTTTGTTTAATTTCTTCTGATTTTAATTCGTAAGTAAAATTTTATTATTTTTATTAATCACGAATCCCAAAAAGGCAAACGAAAAGCGATAGAAAACTAAAAAAATGACTAGAATTACAATGGAACTGATGAAAGAGATTGTTGAGAAATACGAAGGTGGCACGCGTGTTCGAGATTTTAACTGTTGTTTACTGTATTCCGAGAATGATGATATGGACAATCATGAAAAATAAAGATATTATTAAATCTGCTAACGTTGCGAAAGGGGTTAAATCAATTTCTAAACAGATAGAAGACATTAGATCATGTCGAGAAATTGCTTTTTCTTTGGATAACTGAAAAACAGTGCTGGAGACAGCATATCGGAAGTAGTTATTTGCGAGAAAGCTAAAAAGATACACGCTGATCTCACGAAAAAACAAGCAGGAACTAGCCAGGAAAGCGAGGTGTTTAAAGCCAGCCATTTTTTTTACACGAGAACGGATTAATCATTTTTACATTACTTCTTATGGGAAAGGTTGGTTTGGTATACGTCCAATTCGGTATAAGATTAAGGTCGTACACCGAGGTTCCACTGTACTTCCAAGTATTTAAGTCAATTAAGATCATGGGTGACAACTTTTTGGGTTGGTCATTATACATGGTTCCTAGCCAAAAGAAAAGAATTGGCATATGTGTCATCTCTACATGCTAGTCGCATGTCATCACAGGAAGGCAGGTATGTCTCAACTGTTAACAGAAAGCTTTCCAAAGCCAGACTGTCTGTCAACTGGCAGTGAGTGTGCCTTTGACCTCCAAGTATAGACAGGCTTGCCTGAAGTGGTTTCAGGAGCATGTAGGCTGGACTCGATCACAATGGGCTCATGTCCTGTTCACAGATGTGTCTAGGTTCTCTGTGGAATCTGACAGCAGGCATATATTGATCTGGAGAGAGGTTGGAACCTGTTACAAACCACAGAACATAACAGAAAGACTGCTTATAGTGGTGGAGGAAAGACTGTTTTGGCTGGGTTTTCATTAGGTAGATGGATCGACCTCCAAGTGTTTGATAGAGGTACAGTACCATTGCTTCAACAGGTATCAGGATGAGATACTGTACCACTGTCAAACCTTATGCTGATGCATTCAGAGATGATTTCATTTTAATGGACAATAATGCTTGTCCACATCAAGCAAGACAGATTGACCAATACCTTTATGAATAGAGAATAGAATGAATGGATTAGCCTGCATATTCTCCAGATCTCAATCCCGTAGAACATGTGGGATGCTCTAGGGAAACTTGTTTCAATTGTCATATCCCCTCCACAAACCCTCAATGACCTCCAATCCACTCTTGTGTGAATGGCAATTATTGCCTTCTCACTTTTTGCAATTTCTTATTGAAGATATGAGTTGACACTGCCAAGATTGCATTAATGCTAGAGAAGGAGGTCACATTCCATATTGACCTCAACATTTGTATTCGAACATCTTTTTTTGTATTCACATTTATTGTTACTTGCATTCATTTTTTATTATTTCTGTTTACATTCACTCATTTTTTCCTAAATATATGCAGTATATACCTAAAGTATGTATGTATAACCCTAAGAAAGTTTTATAAATTTATTTAAGTGCTTTTGAAAATATTGTTGTTTTTGTGATTTCTGCTTAACTTTTGACAGGCAGTGTATATAACAATATATTTTGACTGTTTTCTGAATTTCTGTGTTTATTTTGAAAAATGAATCTTTGTGTTTATTTTGTAAACAGTCTATGATTGAGCATTTTACATTTAAATTAATGATTTTTTGACTAATATAGGGTATCAAAGTAGGAGATGCAGATTTTGATAGAAGACTTTTATGCATTGGCAAAGAAATTATTGGACCAAGGCATCAAGCTATGAAAGAAGGCAAAATAGATAGAAGTAAAGAACCTTTTAGTGTTCGTGCAAAAGACTTTTGGGATGTCAGTTTTGCCAAATCAGTAAGTAATGTTTAAAATACTAATTCTCATAATAGTTTGTATATTAATTTCTTTATTAAATCAAACCTTGATTCAAGAAACATTCCAGAATATTTTTAGTATTTAAGTTACATTTTTATAAATTAATATTTTATTTATTTTATACATTTCATACATAGAGACTATATTTCCTTGATTCTAAGATGCACCACAAATTTGAAATCAAAGTTTAAGACTGTTTTAGAGAGAAAAGCTTTAAATAATCAATTTTATTAAGCAATAAATTAGAAAAGCAATACAAATGCCAGGAAACAAGTAATGTCATCTTGAAGGCATTTTTAAATGTTAAAAAAGAGTTTAAATTAAATACTTGTTATCAAACCTTATATGAAGAAGTGTGAACATTGAGTGATATATCCTAAAAACATGCAATGATTGCTGATTGTTGTTTTGAACTGTGAATATAAGACACTATCAATCAGTATTGCCACCTTTTCAAAATTGCTGACCTTGACATTTTAAAATTAGGATGTTATACTTAGAAATAAAAAATTAGGTTTTTTTATTGTGAGTAGAAAATAAATATTTTTTTTATTAGAAGGTAAACATGTACATAATATATTATTAAAGTAAAATAATTAATAATAGTCTGATATCGATATTAATTGCAAAAATAATATATAAAAGTAAGAATAATAAATAATAACACATACCAACATTAATAATAATAAGTTACAAAAAATATATTGTATCTTATACAATGTATAATATAAATGCGAGACATGTGAAATGTCATTTTACAGTTTAGAACTGAACAATGCAAATGCCAGTTTTAAGCCAGTTAGGGACTTATGTTAGAACAAACTAATATTTTCCAGAGATATTTGCAAGTTAGAATTTTAAAAGTACATTTTCTGTCACTCTTAGCCCAGGGATAAGTTTGGGTATGGATGTAAAGTTAAAGACTTTAACTGTTAAAGTAAAATACTTGCAAATATTTTTATAAATTTATTTTGTTTCATCATAATTTCACAATTTTTATGAAAACCAGACAAATTAATTAATCTGGACCATGAATTTAAAAACTGGCTTGTCCAGGTGAAAACCAGCCTGGTGGCAACACTACTATCAATTGTAAATGCATTTTTTTTTTGTACAAAAAAAAAGGTTAAAAACATGATCTTAGAATCAAGGAAATACAATATTATAAGATGATATTAATACTTATAAAAATTTAAAACTGAAATACAATATAGGGTTGTCCTAAAATTCATGCACAATGTTTTACTTCAATAGCTGAAGACATAAATGTTAATACTAATAGTAAATAATATTTCAGGAGCTAATTTTTGAAGTTCTTTTACATAATTTATCAGTGTAGAGTTAATTTCATTTTATTACAGATTCCCTTGGTAACAGTTAAAGATAAAATAAACAATGTCTTACAGAATTAAAAGTAGTAATAGCTGTTTCTTTATGACATGCTTATCATAATGAAAGCATATTTTTTTTTAATAGCTATTATTGTCTATAGTTCTGGGAACCAAAACATGCAGTTTAATTTCTCATTAATTTTTGGGTCATGGAAATCTGTAAACAAAATAAATTTAGTCCTACATTGATCAATAAGCATTTAAAAAGTTTTAAAAGTTATCCACTCAAAATATTACTTGCTGTATAATTTTAACTAGTGCTGTAACGAATAGTATATTCGGCCTCAGGCCGAATACCGAATATTTGGCCAGGAGCATGGCCGAATAGCCGAATATTCAGCCAAACTATTCAGCTTGATTAACGCACATACGAAAATTGGCGCGCAAACCGCATTATGGCAAGGATTCTGCTCTCTATTGGCCCGCTGTCACTACGCATCGCCAATCGCGTTCATTTTTGGCAGTTGTAGCGGACAGACAAGAGTGTCATGGAAGTATGTGATAAGTGATGATATCAAATGTGGATAACAATGAAATGACCTACACATGTAAATAACGGAAAAAGAGCAGAGAAGGACTGCAAAGTGAAAATGTGAAAATACATATGAAATTGAGTCGATAACATAATCGAACAAGTCGAGGCAGCATATTGGCATGGAATTCTCGGTCGTCAATGCCAAACAATTGTTGTCATAGACTTCGGAAAGCTAAATGCTTGTAATGAAAGTCACTTAGCGTGCACGGGCGAAAGCCTGGGGCCGTTCGGGCTATCAGCTGTCTTGAATCTGTGAAATCATAACTGTGACTTATATCGATGTCCTATCTGTTTCTTTTCTCCGTTATCACCAGGCTGAGTCACGTAATTGTAAAATGGGAAATCTACGACGGAAAAGTGACTAACTGAAAGTATCGTGAGCATGTATTGTGATGTATGCACAGGCATACATGGATTAGAGCGATAGAGGAAAGAGAAAGGGTAGAGCAAAGACGAGCGCTTAAAAAGAAGGATAGGCAGGGTCAGATGTGCGAGGATTCTCCAACGATAGACGTGTACGTGTGCTGATCTTTGTAATTATAAATTGTGAATACATGTGACTAATATTATTATTTTTTTTATTTTGTGCATGTTACAAGTTATAAATAAATATAAACAAACAACACTAACTCGATAACATTAAATCTAAATACCAAAATGATTAATTTACTGTGTTTTTGTTATTTATTATTCCTGCTTTTAGGTATTCGGTATTCGGCCGAATAGTGATTAAATATTCGGTATTCGGCCAAATGGTAATTGAATATTCGTTACATCACTAATTTTAACCTTTATACATTTTTAGTTATTGATGTATAAAACTGCACATGAATTTTCCTTCAGTTTTATACATCACATCCTGCACATCCTGTTTATAATAGTTTGAAAGATAAATTTTGTTATGAATTTTAAGCTTATAGAAATGCATATCCATTTTTGTTATAAAACTACATGTGGTATCCAACTGAAAAACAAATTACTGTAAGGTCTCTTTTTATTCGGATTATTTTTACGATTTTGAAGTTGTGCGGTTTGTATTTCGTCCAAAAATTTTTTGGACATACATACATATAGGCTTGTTTAGGAAGCCCGTGTACGGACAGTCTCCAAAAATCGTGGAACACTCAAAGCTCACTCCATTTGTTCCACTGACATATAACGTTTATGGATGTAAAGGACAGCTAGCTCTACCTTAATCGCTTTAGTTCCTAGCAATTTTTGATATAAATGTAATTAAACATAAAAAAATACTTAAAACTGAAAAAACGAAAGAAATGCGTTAATTTTGAAGAAAAAGCTTCAAAGTTTAACTTCCTTTGTCTCGCCCTTCTGTGAAATTTAACACCGATGAGTCATTGTTTACACATCTGGATGACCTTGAACACAGCTGGAGTTGGATTTCCCGGGGCATTCTCATAGACATTGCGGGAGGACAAGGGTTTAAAGTAGGGTGAACACAAGCTGGTCATATATATTTAAATATTTTTTAAAAATTTGGAGACTTAAAACCATTCCAAAAATTCAAAAAAAGTCAAAAATCTTAAAGACTGTGTTTTATGTAACGCTATGTAACCTGCCCGAGTTAACTCGGGAGAGGAACTAAAGGGTTAAAATTTAATTAACTCTTCACATCCAGATGTCAGTGACTTGTTTTTAGAGTGAGCTTTTGCAATTCGGGGATTTCCCTTGTACATGATACCATAGACAAGTCGCTATTACATCATTCTGAGTTTTGCATTGAAAGGTATAAACTGTAATTGTTTTGAAATTAAATTTTATATGAATTTCTTTCAGACATTCAAAGTAATTTATTAAGCAGCCTATTTCTTTTAATTTCTGCAAACTTTTTTATGCGGTTTTAAGTTAATTTTAACTCATTGTTTTGGTTTTATGCGATTTTAGAAAATTACGGAACGTATCCCTACTTTTTCAAGGCAAGTAAAGTTTTTTTTTATGCGAATTTTTTATATTCGCTTTTCTGTAGAACGTATCCACCGCATAAAATGAGACCTTACAGTATTTTGTTATTAAGTAATAGTTGTGAAGCATAGTCACTCTCTATCTGGATCCACATGATGCAACACCTTCCAAAAAAGTGTGTCCGAAAAATTAGACTAAGGAATTATGAACTGGCCATCACTTGGCCAAAGGTCACAAGAACCTCATACAACAAATCTATGTTTAGTTTAATTCTATAATTTTAATAATTTTTGATTACATATCAGTAACATTATTTCTGTTAGCATTATCAATATTATTCTGAAATTATCATCATCTTTAGATATAATTTTAGTATGTTCATTTTTCATAAATTATAAAAATAAAAATATACTTTTGGAATTAAATGATACATTGTATTACTTATGATAAATGTATAATTTTTTTCTAATTTTTTTGATTCAATCTTTACAATAATTTTTTTCCTACTTTACAAATATATTCATTCTGATCTGAATAATGTCACATTTGATTGATTTAATTAATCAACTAACTTTTGAATCTAACTTTTATATACCAAGTGATCATAATTAAATATTCAACACTATATAGAGACATTTGGAATTGAAATGCAACCAAATTTGGTATGGTGACATTTCCATAAAAAAATAAGTACTAAAGCTCAACACTGACACTTTTGGCTCTACAAGCAATAAACATTTCATCTGTACAACATAACTATACTATACAGAGACATTAACAATGTAGGAAATAATGTTTAATGTGGTTCCTATTCCGAAGGCAATGAATGGTGTGATCAATGTCTAGCCATAAATGATCCTCTGTAACATAATGCTGCTTTTCACAAACAGTTTGATACTTTTTTCATTTTTTTCTCTTTTTATGCAATAGACACTAAGGGGGCTTTTTGTTATGGGTTTTCTAGATCCACAGTGGGGTAGCTGAGTAATGAGAGATGGGGCCTGACATATCCAGGACCACCCAGGTAAATCTTGTGGGTTTACTAGAGTAAACCTTTTTTCAGTTTTAATTGATTTGTCATGTCATTGTTTATATTCAAGGTTTTTAAGTCATTGAACACTTTTAACTATTGAAAAGGGTATCAGATTTTAATAATTTAGAAAATGAATTTAGAATGAGAATAGGATCAAATCATGATTAACATTTTTATAGAATTTTCTCAAAATCTACAAAGCATGAAGAGCTACAAAGCAATAAGAATATTTGTATATGTAAATGAATGATAAAAAATAAAAAGTAAACTCTATATTAATACAAATATAAAAAGATAAAAGCAACTTAATTGAGTTGCAATAAGATTAGGAAATTTTGTAAAATGCCTTCCATGCATTTTAAGAGGCTTTCTGCACTTTTTCATCACATGGACTTGGAGTCTCTAGTGGATTTTAAGTACAAAAGATCTTTCTAAAATTATAGAAGTCCTTCGTTTAGTTAAAGTTAGTTATTAATTATGGACAATTTTTGTATTACATACTTTTTCTTAGTATAAAATGTAGTTCTGGAAAAAATCATCAGTATGCGCTTAATAGATATATTCTAACACCATCCTTTTAACATAGTTTCTCAACCTGTCTTGACCATTCTTGAATTAATTGTCATAGCCCTTATCCGAATTTTTTTAAAATAATTATTGTTAACTTACTTTACTCTTCACTAACATCATTTTGAGTAGCAAACACATGATGATGATAAAGCACATAGATGAGGAATAGATAGACATGTAATTTGTTATTCTGTAAGTTGAACAAATAACAAGAATCAAACAAATCTCAAATGTATAGTTTGAAACTTGAAATGCATCCAATTATTGTTCTTATGTATTCTTGTGTTATACAGATTGTTGCTTATTGCACTCATTCACTTTTTAAGGAACATATCAGTTGCATTAACAAAGGACTATCTGTATATTATCTTAAAATTAATATAAAGGAGTTAGATTAAATTTACAATAAAGAATATAAATTAAAAAAAAAGAGAGTTAGATTAAACTTGGAATTGATAATATATTTAAATTTGACACTCAAATCTGTTTGCTCTTAATAGCTTTACTTCAATATAGTTAGGGTATTAGGGTATACAATAAAAATATAAAAACTTTACAGACAATTTTAAGAGTGTGACATTTTATTCTAAAATAATATGTATATTTTAGAAAGTAATTTTTTTAGCTTAACATTGATTCAATTTTAGTTTACATTAAATTGTTTTCTCTGAGAGAAGAACAAATACTGTGAAATCTTGATTTATTGTTTTTATCAGGTGATTTGAAAAAATTTATAGATATGGGAAAACAATAGATGCAGGAGCTTATATAAAACAGAAGAAAGGTCTCATTTACTTATATGTATTTATTAAATCAAAAAAATATACACTAGTGATTTTTTTTACTGTCAAGTCTAATCTATATTAATTCTTTTTACTTTCCTGGGTATTATATATGTATAACAGAGGGAAAGTATGGTAATCAATCAAAAAATGACTCAAGATTTTTACATTTTTATACTCAGAGACCTTGAAACATCAAACAATGCAAAAAAATTAAGGGGTTTTTCTGTTAGCATATGTAGGGGCACGATTTTGTTCACCCATCTTCAAGCTTAATAATTCCTGTACTTTTTGAAAATTTCTGAAATTTTGCACGGAAGTTTATGTATAAGGGATTAATGCTATTAAAGGTTGTTAAAGGTCAAGGGGATGTGGAGATAGCAGGGGTTGTGTCATATCTTGAGTAGGGTTGGACTTAATAACGATTTTACTCATTATTAGCATTTACAATTTTTTTTATAAAACTCATCCCTATGATGAGTTTTATACCTTGAGTTTTACCCTTGATGAGTTTTACCCTATGATGAGTTTTATACCTTGAGTTTTACCCTTGATGAGTTTTACCCTATGATGAGTTTTACCCTTGAAATTAAGCTTATTGCCATTTTATAATAATTAAAAATGTAAAACATTTTAATAAAATATCATAACAGATGGTGCCCCATGCAGTTTTAAATATTGCTGGGAAAGTTAAGCAACTTTTTACTGAACTTTTTTAACAAGTTATCAATTTTTATTTGTTTATTAGCACTTGACATTTTAAACTGAAAAATAAACTGTCAGTATTTACAACATTTGCTTGGTCTCTTTCAGTGATATCATGAGCATTGTGAAAGTGCACTGATGGATTTGAAGTGGATTTACTAGAGCATGAAGTGCTGTGGTAAAACTTGGCACTGGTTTGAGCTTTGCTTCATTGTCATCACTACCACTTCTTATTCTCCAGCTTGTTGTCTGGCTGATAAGATGAATGCAAAGTTGTACAAATAACTGTACAGAGTCTAAACTGCTATACACTACACCAAATTCTAAAAACATCAACTGCTTTCACTACTACTAACATATTTGTGATGGTGTTCTTTTTCTTAAAAATGATCAGCCTGGAATTTACTTTCTTTAGGACTGAAATAGGTAACCAATAAATGCAGGTAAATGAAAATCATAGAACAATTGATGTGGGTTTAATTTCATAGTAGGAGTTTTTTAGGAACTCTAGAAACTAGATGATTCTGGAAAGTGATGTGTTCAGGAATGATAGATCAAGGTTTCACCATATCTTTGATTGTTAATCAAAACCTTGTATATCAAATAATAAGTCAAACCACATTCTTGTATTAATGAGGTTGTAAAGTCAGTTTCTACATACTAGTGATGTGTACCTTTTAAGGCCCTCTCTCTAACATTGTCAAAAATTCACAACTTCATACTCAAAATTTTGCTCTCTCAAAACTATGGTTTTTTTTAGCTCTTCCATAAAATTTTAGGAAGTACAGTTACAAGGTTTTGATTGCCAACCAACAATATATGTTTTACATACATACATACATACATATATACATACACAAAATAATTTTGTTCAGTATAAGTTAAACAAGAGTTGCTATTAGATTCAAAATTGTTTCTTGACTCGTAAATTTGTTTGTAGTGCTTGTTTATAGTTTAAAGTCTTAAATTTAATATAAAATAAAATAAAAAACTCTTCAAACCTTTAACTGGAGTGCTTCTATTTTTAGAATTGCGAACGTTTTTGTCGCCCCTCCTGGGCTCTTCTTCAGGCTATAACGAATGGGCCTTTAATATTCAAATAAACATTTGATATGAATCTCTTCCGAATTCTATCATTTGAAATTGTTCCGAAGTTGTGTTGCGCATGCTCCATATTCATCCCTTTAAACTGCTGTTATCTATCAAAATCTCTTCCGAATTCTATCTTTGTATTGCGCATGCTCCATACTCATCTCTTTAAACGCTGTTATCCAGCAAAATCTTCCATGCTATCGATAGGGCCATTTCATCTTTATAATTAATACACTTATGAAATGGCCCTATCGATAGCATGGAAGATTTTGCTGGATAACAGCGTTTAAAGAGATGAGTATGGAGCATGCGCAATACAAAGATAGAACTCGGAAGAGATTTTGATAGATAACAGCATTTAAAGGGAGCATGCGCAACACAACTTCGGAACAATTTCAAATGATAGAATTCGGAAGAGATTCATATCAAATGTTTATTTGAATATTAAAGGTCCATTCGTTATAGCCTGAAGAAGAGCCCAGGAGGGGCGACAAAAACGTTCGCAATTCTAAAAATAGAAGCACTCCAGTTAAAGGTTTGAAGAGTTTTTTATTTTATTTTATTTAAACACCGGTGTGTAGAGAGATTGTATTAAATTTAATATACTAGTACATAAGGTGATAGTGATTTATTATTTAGCATAACATCATAGACATATAATTTATTTATTATTGTATATAGATTTATAAATATGGATTAATAATCACACTGAATTAAATGACTTTATATTTTTAGATATTAGGAGAAAAGTTTGCGAAAAGTGTAACTCATGATATTGATGGCTTAATATTTCAACCAGCTATCAATGTAAGTGTTTCTGTTAATATTTAATTAAATTTTATTCTATTATTCTAGATTCTAAATAATTATGAATAACTCAATTTTATTTACAAATACAGTGGACTTGCCTTAAAACAAACACCAATAAAGTGAATTCTCATGTTAAAGAGAATTTTTCTGTTACCCTGGAAAAAATGCTATTGTCACAACATTAATTGTCAAGTGATAGTGAAGAAAAATTTTAACAGAACTCATTAAACTGAACTGTAAATTTCCTTCACAACCCCAAGAAATAATCCTATTTCCAATAATGGCTGCTTTTTACACTATTTTGAATTAAACAAAAAGTGGCACTGTAATATGTGTTTCATTTTCAGTAGAATAGATGTATGCAGCCCCCATACAAATACATGCTAGTTTGCGTATTGGGGAGTGCATACAGTGATGCCAGATTTGGCTATTTTGCACCAAATTTGGCTCTTTTTTTACTCTTTTGACACCAAAAAATATTTTCTACTTTTTCAGACAACCTTCAGAAAAAAATCTTGGATTTCTTTTAGCTTTGTTTTGTTTAACCACTCTGATATACTGCTCTACACCTAAATAGCAAATACAGTCTCTTCTTCATTTTATTTGAAAATGATTTCGATCATTAATTTATTTTTGTAAATACATTTAATTCAGTTTAACTTTGTTAAATGAATTTAAAACATTATAATTTAGAAATTTAACCCTCTTATTAAGTCTTAACTCCCTAAATTATACAACCTTGAACTTCACAGTGAAAATCTTTAATATAAATTTTTGATAAAGTGAATTAAGTACTGTTCCTCTTGTGATTTGTATTAATGCAAGTTGACTGTACTTTAATTACAGATACTTAATCATGTCAGTAAGTTTTAAACATATAATAAGAAATGTTACATAAAATATTTTGAAAAATTTAATTAAACTCTATAGAATTTTTAATAATAAAGAATTAAGATAAGACTTAGACAACAATACATAAATATCAGTTAAAGGTATCAGTTACTTAACAAACCATTAAAATTATCACATACTGTTAATGTATTCTTATAATGAATTCAATGATGTATTAAAAATATTTTTTTACACTCAATCAATTCTTTTAAATTATAAATAATAATTACATTAAAAATTAAATTGAACGTAAGTGTTTTTAAAATGATATGTACAATATTGGGATTTTATTATATAATATATGACAATGATGGCCAAAGCCAGGGCCGGTTCAATGGGTTAGGTGATGACGTGACTACCTCAAGCAGCACATCAGAAGGGGTAGCAAAAAGAGTGGTCAAATATGTTCAAAAAGAGAAAGTAAATAAATTAAAATAATAAACCAAATACAGTAAATACACATTAAAAGTTAAAAGAATTTATAAATAGTTTATACACAGTGCCAGTGGTAGAAGTGCTCTCTGGTGCAACAATTCTGAAAGTAGATGCAGCAAAATTATGTTTTGCCTCAGGCATAAGTTACCATTGAGATGGCACTGGCCAAGACTCATTTCTCAACCTTCATATAGCTCTCAAATGTTAATGATGCAACTTGTACAACATATCTGATTATTCAGAGTTTTGAAGGAAGAACTAACATTATTATATCCTACATCTTTGGATACCGCACTTGTATTAAATAACCAAACCACAAAAAAGTCCTGAAAATGCAGTAATACTTTTTAATCTTCTAACATTTTCAGTTTTTTTTTATCACCCTTTTTCAGGATAAAAATACTGATTGAATGGCAGTTTTCATTTGAAACAAATGGAACATAAACAATTCTGAAGCACATTTTTAAATATTAATATTCTAGAACAAAATTAATTACAAGCTAGCAGTCTTTGGAACTCTTACTAAAAGAGCCCACACATATTGTCAAATTAGCCAAGAGAGAATGCAGGAGCTAGAGTATGTCAAAGAACTTAGTTACCAATTTGGTTTCAAACCAAGCATCATAACATCGTAACATATATATGATCAAGAGATACAAGCCAGAAATGGGGGACATACTGAAATAAGACACACAGGTTGGGTATACAATTATTAACTATGTCACCCCTCCATTACATATACAAGGAAATAGGAACAGCTCTGGGGCATAACATTCAGAAGAAAACCTACCACCTATAAAATACTACAAAATGATAACAAGCCTATCAACTCACTACACATTCTAGGAGTAAATAAGATACTAGTTAAGGATAGTGGAATTATGCATGATTTATGATGCATTGGAGCCACCAAGAGGTCACTGAGTGCAAGGTTAAGAGAGCACAAAACAAATATGACATCCAGAAGACTAATTCAGCCACTGTCCTAGCAGCATATGTAATTTCTGACCCTAATTCCATCATGGTCATTTAGGACCAAGCCAGAATAATCCAGAAAATGCAGAGTACACAACACATCAAATATACAGATGCATTGCACATTTAAAAAATCAATATCCTTTGGATAATTCATTAATTACAAAGATTATAATATGTCAGCAGCTTGGAAAGTATTCTTAGATTTGAACTTCAAATGATACTTAGACAGAACATAGAGAAGTTCCCACACATATATTCATCTATTTCATATTTTGTGTACCTTTTAAATTTTTCATATTTTTATCATTTTGGTATTTATTCTATAATGACACACACACTGTCTCTGAGAAGCAATATTTGACTGGTGCACTCACCGTCTTTAGCAATGACTGTAGAAAGTTTGAAATATATAGATCCAGCCTTACTGGCAAATGTTTAAACCACAAAGATGCCACAGGATTATCTTTGGCATGGAAATTTATGATAAAAAATAACGCAGTAAAATATAATACATAATGCACACTCAGTTGATATAATTATGTATATTGTGTTAGTACATTTGTATTTTATTTTATTTTATTTTAATCAATTTAACATATTTATACTATTTGTTACATTTTTGATATATTTGATATTTCAATGAGATGTTTGAAACAGTTATAAAAAGTTTGAGTTTTTTTCATATAATTGTTCGAACCTGGAACCAATACAAAAAACATTCCAGAGAATTCAAAATATCTGACAATGGCCTGTAGATCAAGTTGAAAACATTTGTAAAACAATAAATATTGGTTCTCAGAAGTATAAATGGGTGTAGGTATAAGAGATATAGGTGTGTGTGTCATAGTATTTAAAGAATCTGAGTATATATTGAAACTTATTCTACATTTTTCTGTTAACTATTTAATCCATTTGTGTGTTTCTATATTTTAGCTGTTTTGTATTTTTTTCATTTACATACTATTTAAAAGGCATACATTCTCTCATTTTGAATTCTTTTTTCTAGAATATTAATATTTAAAAATGTACTTCAGAAATACCTTTATGTTTTGTTTGTTTCAAACAAAAACCATGATTTGATCAGCATTTTTATCCTGAAGAAGAACACTAAAAACAACCAAAAATGTTAGAAGATTAAAAAGTATCACTGCATTTTAAGGTTTTTCATGGCATGGTTATTAATATATCCTTTAAAAAATTATAAGAATATTACGTTCTTACAGGATTAACTTTTGAAACATGTCTAGTTGACCATCCCTGATCAAGAGCTACCTAGAAGTTTCCAGAAAATTTTTATTGCAAAAACCTGATTATTGGGGATTTGCATCATCAAAATAGTGCTAGCTTACATTATTTACATACAGTTTGCAAAATGGTGTCACATTGAATCTATTGGATCCATCATTATGCCATTTTTTATGGATGGCTGACATGTGACTTTGCTGGTTTCTTCTTTATGTAATGACAAGTTTGAAAAATCATATCTACATCAGATTATATTTTTTTTATGTATAAAATGGCAGTTCAGACACAGGCAATGTTCAGTTTTAAATGGTTTGGTTATAGGGAAAATTCAAGACTGAGTGGTTCATAGATTTCAAGTTTGTCTATTTCAAGAGATAAAATGTCAGTTAAAAATGGTTCAATGTTCTTTAACAATTGTCATTTGGCTTGTTGAAAGGCTTGTCATCCTTCAAAAAGCTGAATGGACAAAAATATGAATAATATTTACAAAGCTATCTTTGAAGATCACTGATGTACTGTTAACATTTTTGAAAATTATTGGTGTTTTTTGAGTTTATGCAAATGAATTTTGATTAATGATCTTAATAATAAATGTATTGACTGTGAAGAGCTTGTGTACTGTTCTTTCTGAGTAAACAATGTGTGTGCCATGATCATTAAGAACAACTCAGAAATGATTCACACTTTCTTGTAAAGATTATTACTAGTGATGAGAGTTTATAAGTATGATCCAGAATTGAAACAGCAACCAAGCCAATGGAAGTTCCCTTTTTCACCAAGACTGAAAAAAGCTTGATGATTGTATTTGAACAAAAGTGCATTGATTTGTTTTTTGACACGGAGTAGTGGCATTTTTACAGGTTTCATTTAATAAAAAAATGAGAAAAATTTCTTCAAAGATATCCAACAGCTATGACTTTATACAGTGAAGGTTGAGAAGAGTAATGACAGAAAGTTTTTATATAGGATTCTCAGTTAGCAACATGAAAACTAGAATTCAAGAACATTAAAAAGTTGTATATAAAGGAAGTAATGTTAACAGTGAGTTTGGCTCTCTAAAGAAACTTGCAATAGCGATTTAACAAACATGTGAACAATGGAACAGATGTACAAGGGATGATCAATAAATAAGGTAACAAATGGATTTCTGAATATACCTTTGTTAGTAGAAATGTGAAATTGCAGCCAGATATACATAAATAAAAACACTGTTTTCACATAATCACTAAATTTGTCCAAGCACTTGTTCTACCAGATAATCAATGCATTCATTCTGTCAGAAAAGAATTTTGTGTCAAAAGCATTCAGCCAAATGATGACAGCCTGTTGCACAAACTCCACAGTCAGAAATTGTTGTCCATAGAGATTTTTTTCATTGGCTCAAAGTTGTTGAGTGCCAGGTCTGGCTATAGGGTGTGTTCCAAAACCTCACAGTATATCATTGATGTGGGGACAGGTGGCAGTGTGCAGTCTTGCATTGAAAGAGAATAACACCCTCTTTAGTGTACCTGGCTGTAGTTTTAAATTTTTAACAAAGATATGTTCAGAAATCTACTTGTTACCTTATTGATTCTCCCTTTTATATTCATACAGTAAGTTTAGATTATATTATAAGCAATGAAGAAGTGCAGATGAAATATCAGAGGATTGGAAGACCATAATAAATAAGAAAAGGATCAATAAACAAAAAAGAATAGTGAATTTGGAACAGTTTTGAAGTGATTTAAAACAGTGGTTTTGAAAATTCATAAAGGATTTTAAGTGATTTCTTTAAGAATGATCAAATTTGTTCTTATTGGAATGTTTTTTTGAAGATGATTGTTTAAAATGATTGAAAACATTAGAATAAAGTTACATAAAGGTTTTCGAGTATTTTTGAAAAATTCAATATAATGCTAATGAATTACATTATAAATGATTCTAGTTTATAGAATTTGAACTTTGAATCAATATCAGTGTATGTGAGTGTATATTTTTATATTTGTCCTATGTAATATCAACTTTCAAAAACTTTTCTGGAAAAATTTTCATTAGCTGTATTAATTAATCTGACTAGTTTTCATATTTATATTATCATTTAACACAGCTCATTATACATCTGTAGTTCAAACTTCTAATTCTTAAAAATAATTCATTGAGAAACTGATTTTTAAAAATAATTGCAAAATAATGATAGCCTACATCACTATGCATACAATTATGATGGTTAAGAGAATTATTAGTAAGCTTGTTGGTGTCAACATCACCAAAAAACTGACTAACTGTTAAATATAAAATAATTTTATTTAATAAGGAATAAGATATTTGTTAAATTATTTCCTTTTAAAGAGTTAATTCACTGAAATCAAAAAATTAATTATAACACCAATAGAATTAAAAAAAAAATTTTTTTACAGCCATATACAGCTGGTAGATGTTCTGAAGTTCTCAAATGGAAGCCTCCTAGTTTAAATTCGGTTGATTTTAAATTAATTATTAAAAATGAATGCAGAGAAGGGTAATTAATTTTTATAAATTGAACTTTTTAAATTAAATACATTAAATATTTGTTTTGTAATCTAATTTGTCATTTCAATAGATGTCTTCCTGGACCTAGAGGTTATTTATATGTTGGAGGACATGATCAGCCCTTTGCTGAAATGAAAGTAATTAAAATAATTTTTTCTTTTAACCTATTACATCTAATACATTTTAATTTTAAAATACTTAAAATTTTAATACTTTTTAAATTTGTTTTCATCTGGATCTGGAAATTCAGTCATATTTTGTATTTATCAAAATTAATCTGAAAAAATTATTACTGCTTTTCATAGTCTGTTAAGAAATTATTAAAACTGCCACTTTTTATATTCATACAAAATGTATATTTATTAATAGACTCTTTACTTACTGTAATTTTATGTGGATTATCTGTGTTTAAATGAAGATGCAGATAATTTACTAGTTTTAACTTGCAATTATGAACTTATCAAACAGCTTTTTCTTGTCTTCAACAGCACTTTTAAATACATGAAAAATCCTTTGCATACTGCTGACATATTCATTTGTTATCATATTTTTTTTTCCAAACCACTGAAAACAAATATCCATACACCATGAAGTCACACATCAACCAGATTTCTGAAAGGATAAAGCACAGACTCAAAATATTTTAATGAAATTGTATTTTTATTTAACACATTTCTTTCTAATTGTATTTGCATTTCTTGCAATGATCATACAATCAATCTAACATTTTCAAAAATTCATCACAAGGGAAGTTGTTCAAAATGTTCATAATATTATTCTTGATGTCATTGAAGACCTTAAGCATATTGTGCTACACCTTAAGAAACAGTTTCATCTTTGAGAACAAAACGAAGTCAACCAGAGTTAAATCAAGTAAGTAGAGTGGATGATCAAGTATTGATCTTTCTTCTATTATCTTGGACATTATCAGCCATTTCAGAAGCTTCTGTGCCACTTGAAGACTTGAATTTGACTAAGGGCATTAGTCTTGTACAATGGCCATACAGGATCTTTTCTCCATCATTGCAAATTTGATAAAGTAATGCTGCTCAGTTCTTTGCAAGTCCATTTTTTATTTCAAAAGACTTTTTTAATTCAAAATGCACTTAGCATGTTTTGCAAAACATATTTCAATTCATATACCATTAATGATATTAATGTGAAATGATGACAACAGCACTTTTAAAGACATGAAAAATCCTTTCAAAGTGTTGTCACTTATTATTTCCTCTATCAAGTGAATTCATCCATATGTGTGTGCTGCCTTTGTTGAACTACCAGAATATTAATCTGGTTGAAGCATGACTGCATAGTGTATGTCTCACTTTCAGTTTTCTCTTGTTCGTTTTCTTTATGCCAACTTATGCTTTAATTGATATTATTTGACATTTCCACTTGAACTTGTATCTTAAAAGCTGATAATTTTTTAATGATTTTCTCATTCTCTCTCTATATATAATAAATCTTGGAGAATTACCTCATATTTAGAAAGTTTTTCAGAGGCAAACTGTCTCCTATCTTTTCTATTTGTTCTATTGTGAATAGAAGCTGAGCAGTTTTTTATCCAGCATAAATTCTGGTGCCTAGTGCTAAGCAGGATCAAAGTCAAATCATAACTACAGAAAAAAAAATGTTTTGTTTATATGCAACTTGTCTATGTATCTATGTTTAAGAATTTCTTGAATATTTAGTTTGATAAGTGAATTGTGCAAAGCACAAAATTTCAGATTAAATTTTCATTACATCACACATTATGATATCTGTTTAGCATGGCAGCCTTTTGTAATGTTATATATGTACTGTTCTGAAACCCTATTGTTTGTACAGTAGACTTTTGTATAGTGTTTGTGGCATGATTCCTGTGCAAGAAAGGACTTCTGGTACAATAAGTATCTCATCCATTTTTCACCAATGCTTTAATTCATTGGTGAATTCTGAGTAATTACTAATTTTTTTCAGTGTGTGTATTTTGTAAGCTGTGGATGTTTGAATGTGTGAGATTCTTGACTGAACTAGTGCAACAACAATTTTTAATTTCTTAGTTTCAGATATTATTCTTTATAAGTAATAGACTATAAACAAGACAGTTCTCAAAGAATTAGTAAACTTTTTTTTAAAAACAATTATAAGAGGAGAAAGGATGTAAAACTAAAACTATATCATCATCAAAACTTAAATATTTGAACTTAACCTTTAATAGACCTTTTTCCTGGGCTTTAGCCAATTGATGTAAACTTTTATTCCGATTGGCAAATGGGCACTTCAGACTTCCGCCCCAAATATTGATATTTGTTTGGCTAAAAGTCAAATGAAACTGAAGAACAGACATCCAGAGATGAGAGTTTTTGAGAGCTATGCTAGCATAGCTGATGTCAAAGTTTAGGATGAAAAACTCTTTGTTCTTTGTCCACTTAATTTTCAAAACAAAATACACAGATAATTCTTTTTGTAGAAAAAGTCTTGAAGAACTCAGCATCTGTATATGTTTGTATTGTAGGTTTAAAATAACTGTGTGGCCTTGTCCTTCTTTACAAGGAAGAGTCAACCTTTCTGTGGACAACTTATAATGGTATTTGTTGTATGTTGTTAATGTTGTTTGTGTTTTTCATTGGAGTCGTTCTAGATCTGTGTTTGTCCAATGTATAATTCCCAATGAATATGTCTGTACTGTAATGATATACTTATTGGCAGTTTGAAATGTGTGCTTTGCATTGACCTGTGTTACATTTAGTTTAATCTTTGGTTGTAATTTTTATTAGTCTTTGTTTTGTGAGTTTGGCATGTTGTAACCAAATAAACAACGATCTGCAATTAACCAATAACTGGTGTGAAATTCTTTAAAAATCAGCGAACGTTTTCGATTCCCCTCCTGGGATTTTCTTGAGGCTTATTTTTATACCTTCCGTTCTAACTGGATTCTTTAATTCGAATGCTTTTAAATTTGAAACTTACCATATTCCGAAAATTTTCAAAAGTGGAAGGAATCCACATGCTACTTCAAATATAATTGTCTACCAATGGGATAAATTTATATGAGGTAATGCACACAACGAATCCTATTAGTATCAAATTATATTTGAAGTAGCACGTGGATTCCTTCCACTTTCGAAATTTTTTGGAATATGGCAAGTTTCAAATTTTAAAAGTATTCGAATTAAAGAATCCAGTTAGAACAGAAGATATAAAAATAACCCTGAAGAAGATCCCAGGAGGGGAATCGAAAACATTCGCCAATTTTTAAAGAATTTCACGCCAGTTATTGGTTAATTGTAGATCGTTGTTTATTTGAAGTATATACAACCCGGTCTGGTGAGGAAATACATCATGTTGTAATCCTAAATATTTATAGAATTTGCTCTCATCCATGGATTCAATGACATCTCCATTTTTGAGTACAAAATTGTCATTCTTCTCAGTTCTTTTTTTCTATGTGAAATTTTCTACATTTATATAGGTCAAACTCCATTTGAATGTCAGTGGAGTAAGTGTCTGTAATCTATACTAATATTATAAAGAGGTAATGTTTGTATGTATGTAAGTTTGTTTGCAGCAGGTAATCTCCAAAACTACTCATCCGATTTCAAAAATTCTTTCACCAATATTTAGAATGGAACCTCAGGGTGGAACATTCATATAAATTAAAATATATAATCTAGGTTAAGGCTTTTATGTCCAACAGATGGCGCTACGAGTACGATGCCCTAAGTTTGCTTTTCTGTGAAAATGAACTAAAGCAGATCATCTTCTATCTATTTATATAAATAAAAATGTAATGTTCGTTTGTTCCTACCGACTCCTTTTAAATTTTGACACAATGCTGCATTCGAATACGCATGTGTTTTTATATAATATACATGTCGAAATTCCCCCCACTGAAGGGAGATGGTTAGGATTAAGGCTTACGGTAAAGAACTCTGCTTCTATTTATACTATTTTAGATGCGGGTTTTTGATTGCGTTTTAATAGGGTACATCAACAGAATGTACTCTAAGAAGGGATTTTTCGATATTCCCCCGCGGGGGAGAGAGACAGAATTAAGGCTTACCGTGAAGAACTTGGTTTCTATTATATTATTTTAGATGTGGGTTTTTGATTGCGTTTTAATAGGCTACGTCAAGAGAATGTACACTAAGAAGAAATTTTTCAAAAAATTTCCCCCCATGGGGGAAGTGTTATACATTTATAATAGATACATTTTGAGCCACAACAAGGCGTGGCGGGGTCTGCTAGTGTTTAATAGATGATTTAGCTGTGCTTGTGTTGATACATAGTTTTATGTCATTCATATACATGAGATAATGTGTATTGTGTTATTCTGTTGTGTTTGATATTTTATCTGTATTTACTGTTGCTTAACATATTGGATATTGGGTTTAAGGTCAGAAAAAACCAAAATGAACTTAATGAGCCTCTTTGAAAAATGCTTTGCCTTATGCATGTTTGGTTTGTTTTAATGTATGCAACATGAAGTCTGAGAGCAGTGTTTTATTGTGTTCTAAAAATTAATGAGTGTGAGATGTATTTTGTATAGGTGTAGCACATGCAATAACCATGAGTATAGAATGATGTTGAATGCCTTCCTGTAAGCTATATATGCCGTGTGTTGTAAGTTTCTGTGTTGTTTGTGTATTTGTTGTAAAATGATTGAATCTATGACTAACGTTTTTGCATTCTTCGTGGTTTCTGCAATAGCCTTCTTGCTCTGTGAGAATGTTGTATTGTTCTTTTCTTCTATGTAATGGTATATATTTTGTTTGTGATGCATAAAATGAGTATTTTGTAGGAAGGCACGTAATTGGTCTGTGTTGTTTACAAAAAGAAGAAGAAAGAAGAAAAAGTTTTTAAGAAAAAGTAGTTATTTTCTGTTATAGGATAGTATATGGCCTCATTCAGAATTTGCAGCTAAAAACTCTACAAAATGTTAGATTATAAATTAATTCATTATCTTGTTTTCCTAGATTAGATTCCCATAGATTTTTGTTGTCTTTATCTGATTGATTTGGGAAACAAGAAAAGCTTTGTAATCACTCAAAATTTTGGGACTTAATTCTTAAATTTTCTATAAAAGTTACAGCCAAAAATAAAGGTACAGTTCCAAACTAAATATCTGGCACACATGAGACTGGAAGTGGTCAGAATTTCTGGATGCAGGCTAAAT